AAGTGAGGGGCCTGCCTTGGCCCTGCCCTGCCCAACGCCCTCCCCTCAGCTCTGCTGCTATGAACCCTCTGTGTTACGGGCTTGACCTTTGTGCCACTGCAGGACCCCCATGTTCATTTATGATCTGAACGCAGCCGTGGGTGATGTGGCCTGGGCACCGTATTCTTCCACTGTGTTTGCAGCGGTCACCACAGATGGGAAGGTGAGTAGTCCTTTCTCACCCTGCTGAGCCACCATGGAGACCGGGAGGTGCCTTGGGGTCTCTTTCCTAGAGAGCCCACCACATGCCACACCAGGTCAGTTGGGGATGATGGGACAGAGAACTCTGCATTTTAAGGGCCAGGCTTTGCAGGGAAGTGTGGAGGAATCCTTCATCACAGGGGACCTCAAGGAAGGATAAAAGGAAGGAAGGAAGGAAGGAAGGAAGGAAGGAAGGAAGGGAAGAAGGGAGGGAGGGAGGGATGGAGGGAGGAAGGGAGGGATGGAGGGAGGGAGGAAGGAAGGATGAGTGTTCATCTTGGGGAACAGACCCTCTGAGGAGCTAAGCTGCCATCCAGAAGTTGTCTTCCTTGAGGACCCTGTGAGGGGGTAGAGGATGCCTAGCCTCTGGGCCAGTCGCTTGTCTGTAAGGTAGTGACCCCCCCCACCTCCAGAAGTGTCCGAGTTGGCCTGAGGAGTATGAAAGAGACTTGGAAGCCACCTTGTGTGAGAATGCTCTTAGGTGCAGGCTTGCTTGCTTCCTTTATGGAATTTGATATAATCTGACGAGCACCTGCAGCCCCAAGGAAGGAATCTAGTGATTAAGGCATCATCCACGTCAGACATCCCCCCCCCCAGGAACACGTTGCTAAGGGCTATTATGGTGCTGGGCCCCAGGCTAGGATCTGGCGATTCAGGCACCTGCTCTTATGGATCTCACATTATAGTGGAGAGGAAGACAAAAAAAAAAAAAAACAGGCACCAAAATTCCTATTACGTTAGAGAAGAGGACCAAAAGAGGGTGGTGCATAGACGAAAATGTTTATAGCAGCATTATTCATAGTGTCCAAACAAGGAAAGGGGACAGTGTCCATCAAATCATGAACAGCAAACAATGCAGTGTGTATGCAAAAGGATCATATTCAGCAGACAAGGAACATATGACAACATAGATGACATGGAAAGCTTATGCTAAGTCTAATAGACCAGACGCTAAAGAACAGATAGATGATATGTCCAAAGTAGATTTGCCCCCACATGCCTCGTGTCAAGAAACAAATCTATACTGAAGCAGAGTAGACTTGTGTTTGCTTCAGATAGAGGGGTTGAGAAAAAATGGGGAGTGACTATTAATGAGTACAAAGTTTGCCTTGTAGGTGAAGAAAACACTCTAAAGTTGGTTGTGATAATGGCTTGATAAATGAATGTGCTTAAAACCAAGGAGTGTATACTTAGGTACGTTAAGTGGATGAACCTTATAGTATGTGTATTATTATCTCAGTAAAGCTGGTATATGACACAGAGAAAGCCAGGCTTGGTGGTACATGCCTATGCCTATATTCCCCAGCATGCAGAAGGTGGAAGGAAGTCAGAGATCAAAAGTTTGAGGCTAGTCTGCATTACATAGCAAGTGGCAGCAGGCCAGACTGAGCTATCGAGTAGACCCTGGGGTGGTGGTGGTGGGAGCTAGGTGCTTTCTTAGGAAAGGCTTCTTTAATGAGGTGTAAAGCTCAAACTGGGAGCTGAATGACAAGTACTAGCCTTTCACAACAACCATCATCACCATCATCATCATCATCATCATCATCATCATCATCACCATCATCACCATCATCACCATTATTTAGTTCTGCCTGCCCTCTTATATAGACCAGGCTGGCCTCCAACTCACAGAGATTCGCCTGCCTCTGCCTCCTTAGTGCTGGGATTAAAGGTGTGGGTCACCATGCCCTATTACGAAGTTGAGGTGGGAAATCTGTACACACTGGGGCAACAGGACACCAGTGTTCTGAGGTGGGAATGGGACCTGAGACAGCATGCCTGGGCTACAGTGAGCGAACGACAGAGGCTGAGGGTGAGAGTGAGGACATGGGCAGCATATGGAATTTGGCTCCAAGGAGAGTGGAGAAATTTTTTTTAAAGGGAAGCTGGGGCACTGTGTGAAGGATAGATTGCAGATAGGCAAGAGTAGAGGCAGGGACACTGCTGGCTGTCACAGCACGAGCTGATAGTGATCTGGACTCCCAGAGAGGCAAAGATAATATCAAACATTATGGGGCACTAGGCACCAAACTCTGAGCACTTTGTATTTATTAGCTGGGATAAACCCCTGGCTCTGCCACTTACAAGCAAGTTAGCCTCCAATAGCTTCCAAGTCCTCATTTATAAAATAGGGATAGTAACAGAACCACCATATGGAGTGGTTGTGAGGGGTATAATATAATTAGATGATCCAACCTTAACACTCCTGCCCAGAGCCTGGAACATGGTAAGTTTATTAGCCTGGATAAATGGTAGCTGCCATTATTGGTTCTTTTTCCAAAGCTTTGGGTTTCTTTAGGGTATTTTTATACACACATGTCATTTTAGTTTGTTCCATCTTCTTCCCTCCCTCACTGTCCTCTCCATGCCTCCGATCCCCCTTACCTGTCCCCTTTGTCCCTCTAACACTCTCCTCCTCTGCTTTCCTGTCACACACATCCCATTGCTGCTATTATTATTTAGTCTGCATAGACTTAAGATTTCTAATTTTTTTTTACCCTCACTCCCTCATTGTGGGAAGAAAGTAAACCAAAATAAAGTCCTTCTGCTGTCTCCAGCTCAGCTGTGCTGACCGTTAGCCTTCTGAAGGGTTCCCAGGAAGTCTGAGGTGGGACACCAGGGCCTCATTTAGCCAACTGGTGACAATAACCTCTCCGTAGGCCCATGTGTTTGACTTAGCTGTCAACAAGTATGAGGCTATCTGCAACCAGCCTGTGGTGGCCAAGAAGAAGAACAAGATCACCCACGTGCAGTTCAATCCCATCCACCCCATCATAATTGTGGGTGATGACCGTGGGCACATCACCTGCCTCAAGCTCTCTCCCAACTTGCGAAAGATGCCGAAGGTACGGGCTCTGGGGGTCCTGGCTGCCAGCCAGAGACAGGGGGATGACAGGGAGGAGCCAGGGGCCACCCCAAGTTTCTGACAGGAAGGATTCAAGGTAAGGATGGTGTCACTGCCTGAATGAGGAAGCTGGGAGAAAGGTTTGTGAAGTAACATCAGTTTGACCTGCGGCATATGAGTTCCCTGTAGGGTCCAGGGGGTGATTTCCAAGGAGTAAGTGGGCTTGGAACATGAGGGAGGCGAGCATCATTGGCTTATTGGAAGTGCAGGATGTTGTGGGTATGACAGGTCACCAGGAGAGGGACTCAAGGCTTAGCTGAAGCATCCTTGCTGGGCTTATGGAGTTTCAGCTCCAATGGTCCCTGAACTAGGGAGCCGTGAGTCTACCCAGGGAAGGAGGAAATGAGCCATGAGCAGGGTAACTAGGTCAGCCGCTATGCAGGCCTCCTTCTGGGTTCTGGATTCTGTTTCTCCAGTCTCTAATGGTGAGAAGACTCAGCCCAGAGCCCAAGGACCCCACATGTATGACACTAAGCCCAGAGCAATGACCTCAAATCTATACCTAGCCCAAATTCATACTTAAGACTCAAGCCTCACAGCACAGGCCTTAGCATCCAGAGCCTCAGGACCCAACTTAAAAATACAGAATCCATTTGTATTGGAAAGTAGAAATGGCTCTGTTCTCTGCCCAGCTTGGGGCCAGGGTCAGGGTTGGCCAAGCTGCCCTGATCATTGAACTTCCGGGGTATAATTTGAGATATATACTGCAGTTTGGGGCAGAATCTGGGACTTCTCTTGTTCAGCTACAGTCTTCTTCCCCGAGTGTCCTTACCCAGCCAAGGACTGCACCATCTCTTCTCCCCCAAGTGTCCTTCCCCAGCCAAGGACTGCACCATCCTTTAGATACTGGCATAGACTATTTCCCACCATGGCCAGGCAGGCACGGCCTGGAAGTATAGATGGCCTGTAATTGTAGCCAGCTGGGGGAGGAGGTGGACTTGGCTATAAATACTCAGAAGGCTGCTAAGCGCCTGCAGCTGTGGCCCACAGGCTGTGGTGGGCTTTGGGGGTTGGGGGAGTCGGGCATGGTCTAAATCTCTTTCCTGAGCCCAGCTCCTTGGCCTGAGGAGGGAGAAAGGAGGCAGCAATTTTTGTGGGACAGACAAAATCTGTTCTTAATTTAATGAGGGGCAGGCTTAAATAGCAGAGCTAGACAGCCCCCTGGGAGGATGATGGTCACTCTTTAGGAGAGGGGCATAGATAGCCCTGACACCATGAGCATGGCAGATGTGAAGGGATGCTACCCAATGTGACCCTGGGAGGAGGCAAGATTTATCATAGTTCCCCACTTCTCCCCACAGAGCAAGGGTCAGTTGTGGCTGAGGAAGTTGAACCTAAATCACCCAGGATCTGGGGTGGGGGCTAGTACTCGGGAGGATTAGAAGTTCCTGTGAGATGACCCTGTCAGCACTCAAGTGATTCATACAAAAGGAAGTCCTCCTGGCATCCCGACTGCCCTTCTTCCTCTGGGAGATGCAGATTCCCTGCCCTTCTCAAGAGGGCTTACCTCAGAGGCCTGGACTCCTCTCCCGGGAACGTTCCCTGAGTGCCATCAGAGGCCAAGAACTGTCTTTCTTTTCCTCCCATACAGTTGGGAAAGTGAGGCTCAGAAAGGGACTTGTCCTGTCTGATGGGGGAGCTAACCACAGCAATGGAACTAAAAATCGGGTCCCTTAAATACCAAGGGATGGGGTAAGGCTGAGAAACAGCTTAATTATGGAGGGAGAATGGGAAGAAAGAAAAAGATGGCTGTCCTGTACCTCCCCTGAGTGGAGCAGTGAGCTGGGTAATGGCAAAAGTACCAGACTGCATGCCAGGGGCTGTGGGAGCAGACCAGGGAGCTGGGGAAGGGTCAAGGCCAGAGAAGTTAGAACTCTGCAGGGCAGCAGCAGTTAGATGGGGCCAGGGAGGACCTGCTGGCTCTGCACTCTTCCCTGACCTTACAGCCCCAGCAGGTGTGGCTGGGGCTGGTGCCAGTAAACAGTGGGCACAGGTGGCAGAGAGGAGAGGAAGGCAGAAGTGGCAGCTGCCCAGCCTGCCTCTGCACAGTCCACATCCCACTGTCGGGACAGTAGGGAGAATCTGACTGACGTGGCCTGCTACCAAATTTTCAAGCCTCTGGGCCAAACATATCTGTGTCCAAACTCCCATTTCCCAGGCCCCAACTCACCAATGGGAGCATTAGAATGTTTTGTAGGTGGAAGCAAGGGTCATAAACTCAGGGTCTCAGAGACAGTCCCCACCACATGGAGTCACATGGAAAGTTCTGTCTGCTTTCATGAGTCTCTTGGTACTTACCTGGGTACATGACACATCAGGTCTGGCTTCACGTGGCACCCCTCCCCAACCCTATGAGGACACCTGTGGCCCAGTCCTCACCTCTCTCTCTCCTGCAGTGCATATCTGTCCCTTCTTCACAGGGCTGAACCTGGGTGATCCTAACAGAAAGCTCCTGCCTCTCTCTCCTCAGAGCCTATAGTTCTCCATGGCCGACTTCTGAGGGACTGAGGATAAATGCCTTTTCCCACTCCTGCCAGCACCAAGCCCTTGCTAAGCTTCCACACGAGAGTTGGAGGCCTCCTCACAGGCCCTCAGATGAGCCTCTGAGTCACCTAATCTGAGTAGGGGGAGGACTGAATGGCAGTAGCAGGAATCCAATATTTACTGGCAGGGGAGGCAGAGAAGCCACTAGTGATACCTACGAAGAGGGAGCCGGAAGCTGGTCCTTCACCATTCCACTGATGTTGCCCCTCTCTGCAGGAAAAGAAGGGACAGGAAGTGCAGAAAGGTCCAGCTGTGGAGATCGCAAAACTGGACAAACTGCTAAACCTCGTGAGGGAAGTAAAAACCAAATTTTGAGTCTGGCCCCAGGCCCTGGCCCACCTGAACCCAATATGCACAGCCCTTTGCTTGGGTACCAGGGTGCCTAAGCTCCAAGAATGTATCTCACCCTGATCAAGTCCCAGTGTTTGCTTCCCTCATTCTAGTTCTTGCGGTCACTCACCTTTTCTCCATGACTTGACCTTCAGCCTCCATTACTCTCTTTTACACAAATAAACCTGTTTGAAAACTCATCTCATACCTTTAATTTTTCTACCACACAGTCCCCAAGAAGAGGAGAAGTCTCAGGGTAAGCCATAGTTCCATTTATTATCCAACAAACAGTGGGAGGACCAGAGAAGGGGCCCAGCCTGGACACCCTCCCATTATTGCCATGGGTTCTAGTTTGCTTCCCCAACCTAGAGAGCCCAGAGGCGCTAAGCTTAGGGAGGTAAACAGCCCTTGGCCCTTGGGATGGAGCAGAGTCCAGATAGCCCTGGCCCTAGCACCAACTCCTAACCCCCCACTCCAGGCCTGGCTCTCTAGAGCTACTCAGACCTCTCTTTGAGTCAGGCTGGCTACAATCTAGGCTGCTGGGTCCAGTTTCAAATAGACTGGACTCTAAATTTTGGACCCCAGAATGGCTGAGCTCTGGGATCAAATGCCACACTCTGACTGGTATACTTAGGTCCAGGACTCCAGGATAGGCCAGGGGCCTTCAGGGCTGCAGCAGGTAGCTGCCTTCATGGCTAGGCTTCTGGGGGGGTGGTGCCTTCTCAGGACAGGGGCCAGGGCTGGAGTTGGGACTGGATTCCGAGAGAGAATCGACGTCAGTAGAACGAGAGTGGCAGGCCCAGCAGAGAATGACCCAAAGCAGTAGCAGCAAGAAGCCTACAAGGCCGTTGCAGACGATGGCAATGAGGGCCCCCTGGGAGATGGCTGCCCCCATGACAGGCAGCACCCTCAGGGCAGCACAGACAGCTGAGCTGCCTCAATGGCAAGGCCCATGCCGAGGCACAACTCTGGTATGGCCGACTTTCCAAGGAGGCTGTCCTGTCCACACACAATGATTCCTGGGTAGTGGAGATGCCACCTGCAGTCCTGAGCCTGGGGAAGTACAGAGGAAAGAAGAGGGAGGTGAGGAGAAAGAAGTGGGCTGAAGCCTAGTGAACGGCTCCCCTCTCCCATCTTTGGCCTTCCAGGTAGGAGAGCACCGAGTCCCAGCGGGCTGGAGTACCTCCCAAAGCCAGTGCCTCCATCCTCGGGCCTGGCTCTGAGCACCTGGTGCTGTGGTGCGGCCAGAGTGGGGAAGCTGTAGTAGGCAGGAAGCCTGTATCTCATTCTTCTTGGAAGTGGGGGCTATAGCCTAGTCCTGCCCACCAAGCTTCTAGCCTTCAGACATGCTGTTGGTGGGCAGGACTGAGGTGGCCCAAGGCCCAGGAGGGAGAGGCTTATGGCTATCATTGTAGATGCTAGGGCATCCTCTCTTTCTGAAGGCTGCAGTAAGCCAATCCAGGAAACCTGCAGAGGTGCCAGCTCACACCGAAGGGAACTTTGTGGAGGCCCTGGCAGTAATGTGTGGGTCCTGTATATCCAAGGTTTAGGTGTTTAGGTGTGCCTTTCCTTGGAACTTTGCCTCCTCTGGGTCAGAGGTGTGTGTGTGTGTGTGTGTGTCTGTCTGTCTGTCTGTCTGTCTGTCTGAACGGTACACCCTCCTGTCTCTCTGTCCCCTGATGGATCTGCATCCTTGTCCCTACATACCTACCTCTGTGAAGGTGTGTGGCTGTCTGTCTCTGTGTCCCTATCTCAGAGTGTTTTGAGTGTTTCATGTGTGTTTCTCTTTTCTCTACCAGTCTGTCTCTGTGTATCGCTCATCTCTTCACGACTCTTATGTCCCTCTCTTCCTTTCTCCATGGGGTCGGCATCAGTGGTTCTGTGCGTCTTGCATGTACCTCTGTCTTTGTTTC